GGCGACTTCCGGTGTTTTCCTGCAGGATACGGTGAATTTTCCCGCATTTTCCTGCCGGTTCCTGCAGGATCTGTTGTCCGGAATCATTGACCTGGGTAGATGGTAGAAAAAGACAACATAATCGTTCCTATGCTTCTTTTTAATGTTTTATTCGCTACAATCAAAGAATAACATATGGTTTTGCCGCTAAATAGATCTAGTAGTTTTTTTCAACATTTTTATACGACAGAAATCGGTTTCTCCTTATCAAAATTTTGCTATAGCATATGTGTATAAAAGCAGGTAACTCAAGTTTTTAGATTCAGTCAATAATTGCCGATTGACTGCTTACAATGAGCAACTTTGTTCATCATATTTTTTCTTCTTGCATCAATAATAATAATTAATAATCAATAAAAAATACATGCCAAAGCACCAAAATACGTCATTTTGAAATGACTTCAAATTAATCCTGGCAAATATTAACGTCGACCTAAAGGGTCGTTTGACACCATTGTACCGAGTATACAAAGAAAAAAGTCCCATAATTATGTGTATAAAAAAAAACACTTCACAAAAGTCGATTTTTCTTGATTAAGGGTCAACTTAAAGAGAGATGACACTTACGAAAAAACCTTTCCCAATATCTAAGATTCTGTCAATAATTTAGAACCAGATAGCCATCAAGAAGAAAAAGAAAACAAATCTAGAAAATCTTTGTTGAATTCTGGTAGCGTATGTATGATTAGGAATTTTTAGTATTCTTGATAGATGAAGACATATATATTAAGGTTTGTATTTTTTCTGTAAAGAATATTATATAAACAGTAGATTCTAGTATTGATTAAGACTTTATCGAACTACACTTTGAGCTTTAAGTCATATTTAACCAATATTAGTTTGCACCTTAATTTAATTGATCGATTCACATATATCAGGCTACGATTACATTCTTGAACTGAGTTCGACTGTCACTATTGCGTTGCTCATTTGTGTATCATGTCTTTTTTTTTCTAAGCACAGATCACTGAATAATACATATAGACATTTTTCGAATTCACCTAGTATCATTGGACATGTCGTCTATTTTTATCGGGCAAGGGAATTTACTGTTAATTTAGCAGAGAACAATTAACAGGAGAATCGTACGTTTGATTCGTTCGTTTATCAGAGAATAACTATTGAAGAAAAATCATGATTCTTCATGAAGTTTGATCAGATGTTTTCGAGGTCAAAGAATCCAAATCTGTAAGCAGCTTCTCAAAGTTGTTTGTTTCATTTGTTGATCCAGAAAAAATTTGATTAAACTGTGTCAAAAGTCATGATTTTCCCACAATAGCTGCTCACTAAAGCAAGAATCAACACATCGAATTTTACTCTATTCCGTTGTTCGTCGTCTGGTTATAGAAAAAAGTCGGTAGAGACATTTTTTGTTACAAATAAAGTGGTATAGATTCTTGTGATAGGACGATATTGGTAATCAAGAAAACGAGTTTAGGTTTCAAATCGGAGACCAAGTGAATAAGAAAATCTCAATTTGATTCGATTACGTTTTTAGTATCTGATACATAGACATGCCTGTATATTGTAAATAGAGGTATCTATTATCAAACTAAGAAGTAGAATTCAGCTGATAATCCTCTGCTTCTCTTTATAATTAGTTAATATTTAAGATTAAAAAAAATGAGTCAACTTTGGTTGACTGAATTTCATATTTCTTAGGCAAAGTTGTATGCTCATGTGCTTTCTACGTAATTACAGCATTTTACTACTACTTTCAAATTAACTAATGTCCAGATGTTTAATGAATAAATAGTGAATCGAGAAATAATGAAAACAAATAATTCATGGGTTATTTCATACTGGAGTACTGTAACTATTATAGCATAAAAAGAAACAGAAGAATATTCTAATGTAGTGAATAGCAAGTAAATTTTATCATTATTTTTCCGCTGTATCTTTTTGAAACAACATAATAAGAGATACGAAAAATGATTAGACAGTTTTTTTATTAAAAGATATACTATAACTCCACTTCCATTAAGACAGCTCGAAAAGATGACAGATTATTAAGTGTATAAGCTATCCGTAGTTTGACAATTGAACAAATTGTTTTTATGGGATTTTTATTTTATAGTTGCCAAAAGGTTTGATATTCCATTCGATGTAGCTGTTTATTTCTGATTTTGAGTACGACGTGCATTTAGTTTAAAACTCAAACTCTAACTTTCAAAATCAAATGCATACAAACATGTTCTTTTAATGTTTTATCATGACATTGAGAGTATTACTTTGTTTAAAAAAGAAATATTATTATATAGAAAACATGCATAGCAATATGTCTAACAATATGAACAAATAAATAGAAAACTATTATAGTGCATGATTATTTAACCTAGAAGATTTCTATACTTTACGAGACAAATTTTTATTAACTTCGATCATCTTTCTTTCAGCCATTCTACAAAAACAGATTTAAAAAAAATGTCAGATCTCGAACTATCGGTACCTTATCTTCCGTTAAAGTAAATATAATAGCATACAAAAAATGCACGACTATGTTTTTTCAATTGATTAAAATACTTGAAATATAAAAACTTTATTTTTTTACTTGGAATAGTCTTACAAATATACATATTGATTATTATCACAGACGAAGTGTTTTACCGATTATAGATGTTACTTATCAATGACATGCAATTTTAAATGTAGGTTTTCAAAATGTTGAGATTGTAATATCACTAGACAATCTTAAATAAAGATTACATGGTTTAATCAGCTATTATACGACGATCTTGATTTTAGGAATACAACTGTCAACTAGCCTAGATCAGTTATATTTATAGCAAGATTAGGAAAAAGAAGAAATCATGACGTAATGAAAAGATGTGCAGTTTCAATGAAGAGGAATAGTTATTTTCACTACTTGCTTTTGCATGTTTATTAGCTGGAACAATTATGTTTGTCGGTATAATCAAGCCTCTTTACATTCTTTTGTTGAACTAATCTTTTCCTGCATTGAGAACTAATAAGCTACCTACTAATATAAATCTATTCCTTTCATCAATCAGAAAGTGGTATCTCATTACATTTGAATTGTGAATGTCTTTCCTACGAGCTGTTTTCAAAGCACACGACAAATATTTTTTCACTAAATCCGTGCTAAACTTTGCTAAGACGTCAGAAGTTACATGACACTACTGTCGAACAAAGTTTAAATTAGATATTGAATACCCATTAACTATGAACTCAGTCTAATATACAAGACTAAACTCAATGTTAATAGTTGTGTAGTATTAATACCTAATTATAATTTGTGTACTTCAAAACTCGAACATATCAATTGGTATACGTCATGAATAGTTCATATTTTGAATTTGATAGTTCGGACGAAGAGCGCAAGTTTGAGCCTGATATGCCAAATCTACTTAACTCGGATTAGAAAGCTCTCACTTATTCTTTAAAATTTTGATGATATCTATGAATAACTAAAACAGTATTAATGCAACTGAAAATTGACAAAAACTTTCTTTAGATATAAGAGGATTATTAGACACCATAGAAAAGAGTAAGTTGATCTGATTTTGGTTTAAGTCTTCTTTAGGTTTTACATTTTTCTTTACTATTCTCTTAGAATTCAATTAATTCAAGAATGTCAAACTTAAGCAACACATCTACTGAAGAGAGTACCGATTTCTATCCCGATATTATGTTGTCATATAGTTTTCGTTTTTGGCTTTTTCTTATTTCAAATATTTTATCAATATTGTGTTGCTTTTTTGTTCTTTATTACTTATTATTTGATCGAATTCTTCGTCAATCATTGAATAATCATGTTATTATAATTCTTCTTTTTATTTGTTTATTATATGAACTACTGGATGTTCCATTTATTCTTAATTTTTTTCGTTACGGTTTTAATTGGGAATTTTCAGTAAGTTTTTCTGTATTCTGGTCATTTCTTGATTATTCATTATATGGAACACAATTTATAATATTTTCCTGGGCAACAATTGAACGACATATTCTTATATTTCATGATCGATGCTTATTAAATCGAAAAAGACGTTTCTTGATTCATTATCTACCACTAATTATACTTATTGTATATAGTTCTATTTATTATTGTATAATAATATTTGCTCCATTTTGTCCATATATATTTTATCGATTACCTGCTTATGGTGTTCCTTTTCCTTGTATATACTATTATGTTAATATAATTGCAATATGGGAGCTGGTATGTCATCAAATAATTCCGATATTTATTATAATTTTATTTAGTTTATCTCTTTTAATACGTGTTTTATGGAAAAAATCTCGTTTACATCGATCAATTCAATGGAGAAAACAACGAAAAATGACGATACAATTACTATCTGTTTCAATACTTTATATTACTTTTAGTGCTCCAGGAGTATTTTTAAATATTTCTTATGAATTTGGAGTATCAAGAGCTGTGGGAATAACGTTTATGTCATATGCTTATTTTTTCTCTTATTATATTGTATTTCTTTTTCCATTTGTATGTTTAGGAACATTGCCTGAACTTAAGAAAAAATTAGAAAAACTCTTCTGGTATCAACGTCAAGGAAGACGAATCGCTCCTGATGCTCTTTTCAGGACTCGTATTCCACGTCACTGAATACGTTGTATCAAATTGCTCTTTTTTGTACTTCTTTTAAGAAAAAATAAAATTCTATTCGCCTTTCTGTTTCAGATACGTATTAAAGAAGTGAAGAGATGACTGTTTATCAATAATTTTCTTAAAGAATATAATATTAGTCTGTTAATTGACAAAGTATTAAACAAATATATTGAAAAATGATTCGATATATGTTCTATTTATATATAAATCTCACTTTCGTTATTTGTACTTTTTACGATGCAATGTGAAAAAAGTATTTTTTTCATAGGGTTTTGTATAGATTCGAGATGTCTGCTTTTTAGTAGAATACAATTTCTTTTCAAAAATCGTTTTCGTTTTTTATTATAAAAGAATTCAAGATGACATAAATGTGTTTTGTTGTAGTTGGAAGAGCTTCTCAACTAAAGAGAATAAAAATTATGTCATTCATTATGGACAACCAAATTTAGCCTGAAAATATCTTGTTTAAAAATTTCTATACGAAGTCATCTTACATATATGGATCTATTATGTAAAGAGGGTGGGGTGTGGATCTTCTGTTCATCCACACTCTCCAAAGATTAAGAAAAAAACAAGTGATGAATAAATGACACTCAGAGAAGATCGAAGCGAATGAAGAGAAAAAGGATAACTGATGGATGTGTTTGGAAGCACATTGTTGACATTTGTGACTGCCATCTATTCATCACTTGTTTTTTTTCTTATTTGTCAAATGGAATTGAAATGAATGGTGACTATATTCAATCTATTATTTTTCTTTTCTGTTCTATACTGTGATTAAACTGAAGAGATACCCAGAGTTTATTTTCTTTTTTCTCATATTTATCACAAAGTCATTCGTCTATTTTCGTAATTAAATCATTTCTGAGTCTCCCTTTCTTTTTCAAGCACATCCACAACTACAAATACTCTGGTTTTATTACATCTACGAAATCTTACGAGTACAAAATCGTTGATGATATAACATCATATACACAAGACGCTGATGATTTTGCATGATTCGCTATCGTTTACAATTCAAACTCATGGACTACATGTGCAGCTAGCATCACTAGTTGGAGACTATCAAATTCGTAGGCTTCAAAAAGAAGGATTGATCTTTGAGATTTCTGACAAAACTTCTCGTCATTGTTATGAAAGTTTAATGACTTTTCCATTCTACGTATCAATTCATGCATCATTAGCACATGCAGCTTTGATAATGACGACTCGCGAAGAGTATTCTCACTAGGCTATAGTTGATCCAAGTACTGACTTAATAAATAAATGCGATGTTGACAGTTCAACTATCGTACGAATCACATCTACAACTGAAGTAGCTGGGTTTCCCGTATTAATATATTCATTAGTGGTGATGAAAAATTTATTGGCAAAAGGTTTAGCTCCATTACTTACCAACATATCTTAACATCGAACTTTCAAGACAGCTGAACGTTTAGCTATTGACCATGGTGTCAAACGTCTAAATCAATATGGTTTTTACAAGGCCATCCAAAAAGAATTTCATTAGCTAGTTTTTTTTACATCGACATGCTATATTCTTTGAATTGGCAAGTGAATTAGCTACAGTAGCTGTGAAGTATTGTAGGTGTTTAACTATAGCTCAATCTGCTACTGCAAAAACAACATCGCTTGATAAAGTAATAATGAAGCGACAAAATAAAAATGGACCCAGCGCGTTGTTCAACAGAAAACTTAAAGACTATTTTAGTACACAGGAAACCACTAAAATCAATGATTAGGAATTTATTAACAGATTAAGCACACTAAAATATTAATAAAACAAAAACTCACTTTTCGTTATTTTGTATTCTAGATTCATTGTCATCGACAATAACAACGAGGATGAACTATATTTTAAGTTTTATATGTTTTTTCTACTTTTTTGTATATAATATTGTTTACGTTATATATTGTCCTATTGTTTTATAATTACGTATTTTATATAAAAGCGGTCTTCTTCACTTGAGTAGAGTCTTTCATGATATTTACACTAACGAGATTGCCTTTTGAGTTATTTTATACATAGAATAAGTGTACAGTGATAGTTAACGACACTTTTTTCGACTACTGAGAATAGCATGTCCCCAAACCATAGAAAACTCCTCTTTGGGTGAGAGTAAACAAAGAGACGCGAATGTGGATGTATGTGGATGCGCATTTTCTATTTACCCACATCCACACCACGGTCAAATAAAATCAACTACAATACGTGTTTTAAGAATAACGATCTGTACTTTTTACGCTTTCAAAACATTCTTTTTGAAAAAAGGGTGGGCCTGAAGATAATGATGCATTTCTGCAGGCTTGCTTTTTATCAAAATAACAATTGTTTTGTTATCGTTTTTGCAGCGTCAAAAGCACACATATTTACAAGTTAAAATGCATTTAAATTGGCTCTTGTCTGACTTAGAACACTCTAAAAGTGATAAATAGCACAAATACTATCACAGTAGACAAGTACAAGGTAAGCTGTTTTTCGTACCCACCTTGTACACTGACTGAGAAAAGTTGTTAATTCTTACTCTACCGTACCCTTCAGGGATACGGTTATTGACCTACACATCTCTATTGGATTCTTTCATATTACTTGCATGCCATGAGTTTATTTCTTCGACGATAAGGTAAATTGTTTAGAATTATATTTTGTATGAAGATTAAAAATTAGTAATCGAATTTTGTTTTAACATATATAAATAAACAAAATATTTCTGTTATAAATATATTAAGTTAGTTCAGCTAAATTGAATTTATCTTTTTTATTGAACTTATTCTCATGTTATATTGAAGATCTTTACAATTGTTTCAAATTTGAAATCGTCCACATGTACTTCAACTGTTTTTCTGTTTCTCATCAAAGTTCTTATTTATGATCGATGATAAATTTAACAAAATTCAATCGAGTATTTATCAACAAATGTCAAGCAACTATATTTCATTACATGATTAACGTCTTATCTGAATTTTTGATCACTGGCTCTGTCATATCTCTAATACGTTCTTAATATAAAGAAACCAGTGGCTGCACTAACATCTTGACATTGGAACCCGGAGGAATGAAAGATGGTGTTAGATGGATGTCTTGGGAAATTTTTTAGAAGGATACGAAAAAGTTTTTTCAAATCATGTTTGTTTTATTGAACAATAATGAATAACTTTCAAACATGAAGTAGATATATACATAATCATAACGACATAGGTGTAGTTATGCCTGTGGATGTTACTGTTATCTTCATCTACACCCACATCCACACCTATTGTGAAAATTATCGAAGACCATTCAATTCACTAGAGCAGAATGAATGAGAAAATCCTTCTGATGCTATACGACAAAGAAACGAATGTTGTTCTAAAGACTATTTCCATTATTTTAATTGAAAATGCTGGTTGAAGAAAAGCATCATTAATAGAAAGCATGGAGAATTACAAACAGATCACGCATAATTGATCCATATTTGCATTCAATCATTCTCTTGAAATCTATCCACAGATCAATAGGTTCCCGAAAGATATGAGTGTGGGTGTGGGTGTGGGTGTGGGTGTGGGTGTGGGTGTGGGTGGGATGTGTGGGTGTTATTTTAATCCAGAGGAACTTTCACATCCACACCCACACCCACACCCACATCCACCCACACCCACACCCACACCCACACCCACACCCACACCCACACCCACACCCACCCACATCCACACCTATTGTGAAAATTATCGAAGACCATTCAATTCAC